GCACGCACGCTCGGGGAAGGGGCTCTGGGCTAGGGAAAGTTGCAGAAAAGTTGGAGTGTTTTAAAAAGCCCAACGCATTTTGATATCCGCTCGGGAGGATCTGAAGGCAGCTAACGTACACAGGGAGGCGAAGGCACAGCTACCTGAAACGTCCTGAACGATGGCTTCTGCTCTGCTCGAGACTGAACCATGCAGCTCTCCTACATCCCCAGAAGATCTCGGGGTGCAAGTGGCAGCCTGCTACCAAAGGACCAGGAGTCCACGCAGTGAGACACCAAACACATCAGAAAGTCACAGTGGATGCGGTGGTCAGGTCTGGCAAGAGAAACACAGTGCAAATGGAAACAAATTCAACAAAATAGAAAAAAAAATTAAAAAATACAAGGTGTATAAATATTCATATGTTCAAAAAGAACTATTTGCTAAAGTTGTTGGGTTTTTTTTAAGTGCTTTGCGCTATGTCTGGAAATATTAGCATTTTATTTTGTCTACTGGAAATTCCTGCCCTGGCTGAAACAACTGAGTTAATAGATTCTTTTGTAGAAGAAGAGCAAAAATACTTGCACCTCCCTACTCTAACCCTTTAAACTACACACGTGGTTTCTCTCTCTCTCTTTCTCTTTCTCGCTCCCCCTGGCAAAGAGTCAAGCAAGGTCGGGGTTAAAGTACACAAAAAACAAAGAATTGCTTCCTCCAGACTATAAAGATAAAGATTTTAAGTTATAATAAAATCCCACACAGAAGGTAGAAAAAGAAATTAAAAACTCTTTTCACTGTGGTGTCTCCTATAAAGCATCTCTTATTTCAAAAATACAATGTCTGACTGCTTCACAATTAACACTACAGAAAATCATTTGATATTCTAAAAATCATTTCAAAATTACGTCTAAATGTAGCTGCTTGAAACATAAAGAAATATGTATATGTAGAGAGATGCCATTGTTTTGTGTTTCTTCTTCAGCCACTGGCTGTGATTTTAATTGTGCTGGAGGATCTTCATTAGTATTAACACATGGGGAGATTTCACAAAGCTGCTTCATTAGAAAAAAAAAAGCTTGGCAGACTAGGTCTTTTTGCATGCAATGAGAATGTCAGCCTTACCTCGGTCATTTGTAACATAATAAGTGCAAGCACAATGATTGCAATGCAGGAACATTGGGGGAAGGGCAAAAATACTGCCTGTCTAATAGGGATATGTGAAAAGAAAGCTGCTCTCATTACACAGTAAAATGTATGCTAAAAATTAGTGAAGATGATGTCTCAAGAGACTGATGCTAAATAAATTAATGTGCTGATATGTTTTTAATTATTATTTTTGTACTAGTTTATTTCATTCCCAGGATTCACATCCAGCAGCAAAGCTTTGCTAGCATTTATTGATTTTTTCACTGCCACATTCCCGGAATACAGATTTTAATCATTTCACTACACCACACTCAGTAATTTCATTAAAAACTGGAACCTTCCATCCCCAGAAAAGCATTTAATTTCAATGACACACAATTTCTCTTAGTAGCAAACTGTCTCAACAGTAAAAGCTGGCCTAAGGTTCAAATGCATAATTTAATCCCGAGTTCTCCATGCTCTGCATTCCTTTGAAGCTATAATTTGACTAACTACCTAATAACTGTAATAAGGACAATGATTTCCTTATAATATGTTATTAACCCATATTTAATTAACTCAGAGGCCAAGCTCTGTACATGTTTGATTGGGTCAGTACTTCTCTAACCTCAAAATTTACTAATAATGTTCTTGAAGAAAAATGTGGGATAAGAATTTAAGTCTGGATACAATAAAAGAGATGTTTCACTCCTAATGTTATTCATCAAAAACTCATATATTTTCTAAGACAACAAATATTATCACTCTAGAGATAATAGAATTTTAAAACATATGGAAATAAACAATGGATTTAGACAACTCAATATAAAATGTACTTGCTGTGATGCAGGTATTTAATATATCTCTTCCATTAGCATGTGATATAAATCCTAATATCTATTATTATTAGCACAACTACAAAGAATGATTCACTTAGAATTTTTAGTATGCCAAAACATCAAGACAAAGCAGAACACTGGTAATTTTGTGACGTTAGCTATCTCAACTTTTTCTAGTGCCCATAGTCATAGAATTGAAACATTTTGAATACAGAACCTTACTTTCTATACCATATTTCCTCTGTTCAAATAAAGTTTAGCAAAATATTCATGTCTGAGCCATTGGGAATTATTTGTTGTTGAAGATTTAAACAGGGCACTTCATAAAGTTCTGGAATGCTAAGTACTGAGTTTGGCTTTAATTAGCTGTTTAAAAGATTATTAGGTCACTAGATAGTACTTTGTATTCTACAGCAAAATGTGTTTCATAAAGCAGTGATAGCTCACCTGTTGTAAGAATTGTCACAAGAAAACAAGTTTTACTAGTGTAAACACTTCACTAGTTTCATAAAAGTATTAGAAATTCTTTTAATTTGCTTACTTAATGGAAGCTGTTGTTATAGGATCTATTGATGCATTCAAAATGATTAAGTATTAAATCAAAAAGGCTCATAGCTTAAAAATTTGGCCGGTTTTCCCAAGGCAGTATTTAAACTTTAGGTCTCAATAAGAATATATGCAAACTGAAACTCTACCACATATACAATAAAAATAAGACTAGTTTCTTCTGCTTGTTTGCTTGTATGACTCATTAATAAAAAAAATGCAGGAGCCTTAACATCCTTTTTAGGTTCCAAATTTCAGTTCATTTGAAAAAAGCAAAACAGCATCTCAGAACACTGGGGTTTTTTTAGTCCCCTTTGCCTTTCTACATGCTCATTAACTTTATCATCAATAATTCTTTAGATACTTGCATCATAAATTTATGCAAAATTGAAAATGGTCACAAACTTCATTGGAAACAACAACTAAAAGACGGTAATGCAGCAATCCAAGACTCCAGTACTGCAAACACTTAGACAAAAATGTAACTTTACACCTTTGAGTAACCCTATTGAATTAACTGGGACTATTTGCATGCTTAAAGATAAGGGCATGCATCAGTGTTTGAAAGGTCAGGGCCAGATGCTTCAATGAAACTACATACATGAATTAAGTTATACCCACACCTAGACATTCCCAGTTCTACAATGAGCTTTGACGGTGGAGACCCTTGCACCTACACAGTGCTCCGGTGAAAACAAAGATTCAGTGAGGCTGGACATGGGTGTAACAGTCTGCTCATCAACAATTCACTGCAGAGGTCAGGACCTATACTTTTGATAGCATTGGCCTATTCCCAGAGTGCACAATGATGTTCCAAAGCATATAGGTCTAGTACTAAATTTTTTTTTTAAACTTTGACATGTAGTAAGGTTCAGTAAAGAATCATAAACAACAACAAAAAAAAACCCTTTCTGAAATGTTGATAATTGCTGGCAATACCTGAGAAAAGGGATAGAAGCATTAATATGAAAAGCATGCATTAATAAAAAAAAGGTTGATTTAATAAAATATTAAATATTTAATTCAATTATAATGTGGAACCTATATTTTGAAACATTATGTTTAAACATAATAGTACAGTGGAAACCAGTTGAAAAGTACAGCCTCTCTGTGTTCAGAAAATTTACTCTGGGTTTAAAGGGTTTATTCTTATCACAGATACTTGTTGGCACAGCAGAGCTTATGCTATCACTCTCTGAGTGCTATTTATACAGTTTAACATGTCTAAGTATTCCTGGCTTTATGCTTTTACACCCCTATTTTATGTTGTCACCCTAGAGTAGTCGGATGAATTAGAATCTACTTTTCACTATAATCAAAGAGTTTAGAAAGACACAAAGCCAGGGAATCTTTACAAACACAATGCAGTTTACATACAGTGTAAAGCATAACATTAATAGCTTTGCAGCTGGATTGATGTGTTGTTGATCATTGTGAATTACTGGCTCTGAGGAATTCTGGTTTCATTGCTAGAGATCAATCTGTTGCTGCCCCTCCTCTGAAGCAAATTTTGTTGGGGTGATGCAAACAGTGATTCTGTAGCTGCCAATCACCCTAACTTGCCAAGTGGGAAGATAGGACCCAAGGGTCAAAAAAGGAATCTCCAAAGAATCAGAACAGATCTGGATTCTAACTTTTCATGTAGGACCAAACGCTAGAAAAGTTGCCTCCAAGGCATAAAATAAATCTCATCCATAGTGGCCAAGATTATTAAAGATATCTTCAATTAACACAGTAAACATGCAGTACTCAGCTGTGCTGCCAGAAGATCAGTCATTCTCAGTGTGGATGCTGCAGTACCCTGGGTGCCACAAGAACCTTTCAGGGGGTGCCACAGCATGGATGCTGCCACCACTTTCACTGCCTCCACTGCTAGTATAATTG